GGGGCTGGGGCTGCCCTGAGCGCCGGCCCTGTGCCAGGGGATCCGCACGGCCAAGGGATCATCCCTGAGCCTGCGCCCTGAAGGGTTCGCCCCCCTCTCCCACAGTGAAAACTCATCTTTAACATCTACCCCAGGTTCTGCCCGAGCTGCAACACCTCCGTTTGGGCTTATCCTCCCCCTTCCCGGACCCGCCTCTCCCTCCAAAGTTTGGACCATGCTGGATGAGACCCCAGCAGACAGGGGCACAATGGACCATGGACCATGTGGCACCATCAGCAGGAGCCGCATTAAGTGTCTGGGAATGAAAATTTGGATCTTTCTCAGCACTGGGCAGCCTGGAAGGAAATAAAATTACATCATTCCTCATAGTACAAGCCCATTTTGTTAGGCACAAAAGACCAGTGTGAAGTTCAGAGGGTAGAATACAGTGAAGAAAAAAACCCCTAATACTCATCTGTGAACCAAGATAGGCTTTATAATTTTTCCAAAACCCTGCAAGGGTATACAATATAACAAACAGCTTCAGACAGTCTGCTCTTGCAAGTACTTTGTCCCAGCCCTGAAACACAGGGGTTTTCCCAGCAGCTGCTTTAAACTCAGTCCATTTTTTAAACTGCTGGCAGACTGGCACCGCTTTTAGAACAGCCCACTGGGGCAATAGGCAATGGTCCCACACAGGCTGTGTGAGCCAAGTTGGACAGCACAGGCACCCACAGCCCCTGGAGCAAGGGGCAGCTTGGGGATGGCAGCTGGGACCAGGCTGAAAAGCAGGATAGCAATAGGAGAAAGGAGAGTTAGAAGGTGTGATGCTGGCAGCTGGAGCTCAGAGAGATGGAACCAGAGCTCCTGAAAAGCAAACAGGAAAGGCAAACACATGCAGGATTATTTCTTTTGGCTGCTAATTTGACATCAGTGGAGCCATATGATGAAGTAGTGAGGAGTCACCCAGGGGTGAGGGCAGAAACCCATCTTCAGGTGTCCATATGGCCTTAGATCAGATTAAGCCAATTAAAACCTTATCCTAAAGCCCTTTACTGCAGCAGGAAGCCCAGCTGCCGTGGAATAGGAAAAAAATCACGTTCTTGGGTCCTGGCTCTGCAGCACTGCCTCTCAACCTCTCCTCTCCACACTCACAAGCTCCAGCTCTTTCTGTAAAGCACAGGGCACATCCCACCTATCCTGTTCACCACTGTCTTTCACAATCTTCCCATAGACCTGCTGGTTATCTGGCAGGCAGACACATCTCAGTGGTCTGTGCACCCTACTTTGCAGCAGAGTTGAGTTCCCAGTGTTTTGTTGTCCTGCAAGTCTCACACTCTGCTAAGGGGCACTCACAGCCCATACAAATGATATGGAATATTTCCCTGTAATGCCCCATAATAAAAACGCAAGTAATGAACATGAAAGAGGCACGGCCCTTTCCATGTCCCAGTGCCACTAGATGGCACCAGGAGTGTACCCTTCCCAGCCCGGTGTTCCCAGGGCCACCGGGGGAAACTGGGGAATCCAGCCCGGCGCTTCCTTGCTGCAGAGGAATGTGCCCCCTCCTCGTTTTTCTTCATGGACCGTGGGGTGCTGCAGTATAGCCAGGCATTTCAGCCTTAAAAATCAACCTTCAGTGATGTGCTAGCCTGTGGTGGCTTTTGCCATGTTGCCTGCCACACACACATCCCTTTCCCCGCCTGTGGACCAGGCATCACACCCAGCTGGGTGCTGGAGAGGAAAGCCTAAAAGGTGAGTGCAAGTTATTTTGATTAATATTGGTATTAATGTATGAGTTTCCCATCATTGACAGGCTCCTCTTGGGAGGAACAGGAATAAAACACAATTTACCATATAATTTTGCAATCAGAAAGTTTGCCTTCTCTAAGGTCTCACAGTTTTAGGGATTGATTCTCCTCATGCACATTTGATATCCAACAGAGCTCAGCATGTCCCAGAGTATTACCTGTGGTTTTCACTATCAAGCCCTCCATTCCCTGTCACACCCTTGGCAAAGCCACTAAACAAAGCAGGGAAGAACAGGCAGCACTTCAGCAAATGTCAGGTCTTTCCTCAACCTTGCAGAATAATTAAGGAGCATCTGCTTTCCACTGCCCTCAGCATCAAGCCTGAAGGTGACCCTCAGAGATGGCAGCTCACATGAGGGGAATTCTGGTGAGGCCCTGTAGTAACACTTCAAAGCAGCCAGCCAAACCCTGGCCCCCAGCAGTGTGGGGCACTCAGGTGACAAATCATTGCTCATCACATTGCTTCTGCCCCGAGCAGAGCTGGAGAGGTGATGGAGCAGCTTCCAAAAGAGCCAGAGCAGCTTGTCACTCCTTCCTGCCCACATCCCAAGCCTAGTGTGCCTGGGTGATGGGTGAGCATGGCAGTGGCACAGCCCTTGTGCCAAGGGGATCCCAGTGAAACCTTGAGTGAAAAGGGAGTGGGAGAGAGACTTTGTGCAGGGAGCCTCTGAGTGATGCTGTCCTGCTCACAGAGGTGGGGTCACTGGAAGAAAGGCCAAGTGGGAGATTCATAGCACAGCTCCGTGGTGGTGCTGGCAGGCAGGTGGCAATGGCAGGGCTGTCCCTGCCCACATCCCAAGGCCACAAGATAATCCTACAGGAGGATCCTGAGTGTGACCCTGCTTCCCAGCCTTCTTCAGAGAGTGGCACAAATCCCACACAAGTGCTTTAACCCCAGGTTAGGGTGAAAGCTAGAAAGGAGGAGGCTGGATCACTTGGGAAGTTCAGGTCACATAATCAAGTGGGTTAAAATCCCTCATCCATTCCATCAAACAAGGCAAATCTCTCATCCTCCTTCCCTGCAGCCTCTCCTCCCCTTCCTGATCACTTCAGACAGTCCTAGGGAGTGACCCAGCATTCCCTTGCCGCTGCCTCCCCTCCAGGGAGCCTCCCCACACACCATCTGCTCTCCACAGGCGATTTGTGGGTACCCAAGGACATCACTCCCACACCATCTTCCTCCACACCAACCTGTCTCTCCCCATCACCCCCAGCCAACATCCCTGGGCCCTCTGGCTCTGGAAAACTTCATTAAACCTCATGGACAAACTCAAGTCTTCATTTGGTCTCTCTATGAGTGCATGTTTTCACACATGGTGCAAAAACTTGCTGCTACAAAACCTCATTGATCTGCACACAGCAGTGGCAAGCCTGGTGCCCCTCAGGGCTCCCAGCTGCTGATTCCAAGCAGAACACACCCTTGTGTGGCTGCAGATGTCAAACAGCACAGACACACATCAACATCGATGTGTGCATGGCCAGAGCTGTCCACATGCTGAAGGATTATTTTTAACCTAACAGTGATGGAAATGTCAGAGAGAGTATTATTTATTTTCTCTGGAAGGCTTGTTGCTGGAAATCCCCATGGGCAGAGGCTGACCCTGACCTTGCCATCACAACAGGGTCTGTCATCCAGGTCTGACATCCCTTCCCTGAAAAAATGTGCAATTCAGCACGAGGGGAGGGTGACTGGCCCACAGTGCCTGGCAGGGCTGGCAACCTTCAGAAGGCAGGTGCTCATCCAGCCCTGCAGCCCAACCCATGCCCACCCAGCCAGGTTGCAGCTCCCCCAGATTCCCCAGCCTTCCCACATCCCAGGGGAGGTCTCACTGCAGCCACAATGGGCAGCTATGAAATGTTAGAGACACCAGGGCTGCTCTTTTGAGCAGCCAGGCAGTCAGGAAGGGCAAGCAGGCCATGGGATGCTCTCACTGCCCTTGAGTGACATGAGGGATGAAGTGTAACAGAACCAAGGTCTCCTGGTGCCCTGAAAGCACCAGAGGACTCCCTGGAGATGGAGCAACCTGTTTCTTCCTTCTCAGACACTCATCTCATGCTCAGCACTGCACCAGGAACAAAGCCAACGACAATTACAAACCTGCCCTGGCTCCTTTCCAGCTCCCAGGACCCCATCTGCACTGAGGGCTCTGGGATGGGGCACCTGTGTCCCTGGGGAATGTGGCAGCACCCAGCTGGGCCTGCACTTCTCAGGGTACCAGGACATGACATGTCCCCTGGTACACTCATTGACAGGTTATGCAAAAATTTTCCTTCTCCTTGTGAGGGTGGCAGACTTGAGGGGGAATGGCTGCTCAGAAAAGCACTGGCACATCTGAGGTAGAGTTTTTTGCTTGGTTATGGTGTCAAAGAGGAGCAGTAATGTTCTATATTCACACAATAGCAAAGGAGGGCCTTGAAGCACATCCCACTTGGGGTCTGTGACCAGTCCATAGACAACCAGGAAGAAAATCAGTGTTTTTCCTTCAGAATTGCATATTTACATCTGAAAACTAGCAGAGACCTTGCCCAGAGGCAAACAGCTCCTTTTACTGCCTGCTTCCCATGAGGTTTTCTCCTCTGTCTCCAAGAGGAAATTTCCAGTAACTGAGGTATAAAAATTAATGCAAGACTATGCTCTTGAGCCAGCTGTAAAACTCATACAGGAGGAGCTCCCCATCCCACACCTCACCATGGCAGGCTGCCCCCAAAGCAGGTCACAGCCTTCATGAGAGAGGGAAGAGGCAGCTCTGTCTGCACCCTCCTGATGCAGGTCAGGCTTTGGGGGTAAACTGAGGCACCCAGACCTGCAGGCATTGCCAGCACAATCAGCCAGGCAATATTCTCTGACAGAGGTCTTGGATCCCTTGGGAGGTTGCAATGCTGGGACAACATGAGGTGCAGCAGTCCCAATCTCATTGGAGATTTCATGGAACAAGAGATGGAAACAGAGAGGAAGTCAGTGAGGGGAAACCCTCCTCCACACTTGCCACGTCCTGGGAATAACCACCAGGACTCAGCTGAATGGCAATCTCTAGGAAATCTTGAAGAAATGTCTTTCAACCATATCCCATTCATCTCCCTCCTGGACTTTACATATAGGATTGGAATTTGAGCCTCATGGTTTTCCTGCAAAAGTGCAGAAATTTTGTCTTCCATGGCTGACAGGCTTCTCCCTGCATCCAGCTGCATGTGAAGCTTTCAAGGAGCTGTGGTGGCAGACACTAGCACAGCAGAGCAAGGCCTCTTGTTTCTCCCAGCAGGCCTGAGGGAAGGCAAGAAAAAAGCTGGGTAATTAAATAGCACTCGTCAGAACATGTGCAAGAGGCAAACAGCAGAAACATCCCTCCTGTGCACACTCCTGCATGAAGCTATGTCCACACTTACCTGCTGAAATCCTCACTTCCTGGGCTAAACAAAATCCCTGGGCAGCACCCCCACTGCTGCCTGCCCTCCCTAGCTAAACCTTCTCTTCTGGAAGGACTTTTTATGCTAACATGAAACAACCAAAAGCAGTGCTTTTCCAAAGTCCTGGTTTGGAAACCTCCATATACAGGAGGGAGAAATGTGTTTCTGGCTAGGAGGAAGCAGCTGGTTCCCAGAGAGCCTACAGGTCACACCCCAGAGCATGGCAGCAAAATCACAGGGCTGGCATGGAAGGAGGAAGGTGGAACATCCCATAACTGATTTCACCTTTACTGTGCTAGGCATGTGTGTCCACCACACTGCACACTCAGCTGGGTCTGCTGGGATTTGGGAGTCTATTTTCCCAGGGAATTTCAGTAAACAGGAGATTCAGGGACTTACAATGCTTTAAAAACTTGCTCCTCGATATCTTTACTAAAGCAAAGGTGACACTATGGGTAATTTCTTTAAAGCAGGGTATAAACATGAGTAGCTGACAGCCAGTTCATTATATCAGAATCAGTTTTCATTAGGAGGGGAAGCTTTTGTGCTTTTTAATTGTTTCTCTAATTGCTTTCTCTCCCTGCTACCAGGGCAGCCTGCTGTCTGCCTGTGCCTGGAGGGCAGAGTCCTGCATACCTCACCCCTGATCTGCTAACATGGGTAACTATAAATAAATAGTGACACCTGAGAGGGGAGGAGGAGAGGGATTGTGCTTCTCAACCTCAGTCTAGTCAGCTTATGCAACAGAAGGTAACTGCTGGCAATCTCTAGTTATTGACTGAGCAGGACTATTTCTGATAGCTGAGGGCTCTGACCTGGCCAACATAAAACAAAATTCTCCACCTCTGAGCTGGAGCTGGGTAACTTTGGAGTAACAAGAAATTGTCAATGATTCAAAGTGTAGAAAATAGATGCATGTTCTCCACTGAGCAGTATTCAGTCAGCTAAATGGGGCCAAGCCTGGTTGAATTAATGAAGCTGTCATGAAGGGGGCAGTGGTGGGGCTCACACATCCCTCCCCCCAGAGAAGCAGGAGGATCACTGAGAGGTTCCTCCTTGGCTTGTCCTGCTAGAAGGCAACAGCACCTGCCTGGGACACCGTGCCTAGGCAGAGGGTAAGAGCTGGGAGGGAGGGGATGCTGCAGAGACCTTGCTGTAGGGACACACAGACACGAGTGAAAGATGGGGAGGCAGAGCTAGCCCTGCCTTCTCCTTTGTCCCTGCTGTAATCTGAATCACTCATCTAAGAATTCAGCACCCTGCACTGCCTCCAACACGATCCTGCAGGGTGTGGAAGCCTGAAGGAGAGCCAGTGCATGGAGCAACGAGGGCCCTGGGGAGGTGAGGCTGCAGCTCCACCTCCCTGTAAGAAGTGTGCCTGGGCAGGTACACCTTACACACAAACACACTCACACACACCCACCTTTGCTAACAGCAGAGGCAGCCACAGAGTCCACATTTTCTAGGTTTTACTTCTATATCTGCAAAAAGCAAGTTTGCTTCTGTTTCTGATTCCCTGCAATTATCATGAAATGCCTTCAAGAGAGCAGCTCTGTCATCTCGGCTGAGTGAATCTTTGATGTCCAGCACTGCACTCAGATGGTCCTTCCTTTCCAAAAGGACAAAAGGACAGTTAGTGAATAAGCCAAGAAAAAAAACCTAACTTTTGTTTCCTATCCCTGAGTTTTGCTGGACCAGACCAAAAATTGAAAGCTGCTTTTTGACACCCTCTGGCTATCTAAGGGGGAGGCCATATCCCAAGAGCTGTGTGGGACAGGGCTGAGCTCACAAGTCCCAAGCCCAGAGCCCACAATATCCCTGTGAAGTATTGAAAATGTTCAGTTTAGGTTATTCCTAGAAAAAGACCTGTATCTATCATAATAGGATCCAGAGAACGCTACATTTGACCATTTGGAGGCATTTTTGATATCTTGTCTCCCCTCAAATGGAGCCAATTCTTGTTCATCTGGAAGGTTACAGGATTTGTGTTCTACAGAGCTCTGTTCCCCTGAGCAGAAAAATACTGTGTTGGATATAAGGCAAATGTATCCAAGCCAAACAGTTTGAAACAGAGAAATCTGTTTTAGTCAGCAACAGTGCATCCACTCACACCAGGATAACCTCCTCTGAGATCTGGGTCTTCTGAGAACTTTCTATGCCCACTTCCTATACTGTATATGTGTATATATATATATATATATATATATATATATATATATAAAATTGCTATGCTGTATCAGATAAACAGCTTTTTAGCTCAATAGCACTTTCAAAAGTAGTAAAGTAAAAAAGAGTTAAGAAACCAGATGAAGCATAACATAATCTCTTTGTCTTTCTTTTTATTTTTTTCTTTGCCTACAGCAGCCCTTCCTACAGAAGTCTAGAGACTTCCCTTGCTGCAGGTTTATCTGCTGACTGTCATGTTGAATAGGCACTGAAGTAATTATCTGCCACAAATTGTCTGCCCCACATTTGAAGGTATTCACACTTTTGGCCTTCAGAGCATCCTGTGACAGACAGTTTAACACTGCAATCATGTTAAGTTGGAAAACACAGGTACAGCACATAGAACAAAAGATAGATGCAGTAAACCACAGGCTTTGGAAAAAATGCAGTAATCCAAGATCTCTCCTTCCTAATAAAACCTGTGTTTCAATTCTGTTAAATTTTCTGTAAGAAATACAAGTGTATATTCCTGCTGAATACACCTTGAAACTTCTGAAAATAGTTAGGGAGGGTGTGGTGAAGTGTTGAAGCCAGAAGCCAAGTGTTTGGAAGTTATGAAATGCCCAAATTAAGGATGTTCTTGAAACCTACATTTGACTCATATGGTCCTGTAAATTCTGCATTAAGGTAGTACTTTTCCACAGCATTTCTGCTTTGTTGACAGCAATTTCATCCATCCTCCACCTTTACAGGAGGACATTTCAACTTCAGCAGTTCATGTCTGACAAGGATATAAAGCAGACACCAGTGAGTACATTCAAAGGGTCACTGTGCCTGGCCCAACACACTGCAGAAGTATCACAGGACTAATATTGCTGTAGGTCTTCTGGTTTCAAGTAATCATGTAAGAAAGCACAGAAGTGAAAGCAATCAAAGACATTACCTGAGGTCAGGAAATTCTTTTAGAATGGGCAGAAGTGCTATCTTCATCCCCTCAGGATCAGAAGTTTGAAGAAGCTCTAAAATTGCTTTTATTGGATCGTTGAGAGAGCCAGCTGCAGGACCCTGGGAGAAAAGCAATTTTGTGTTCAGGGCAGGAGAAACAGCACAGCACATTAAGGGCTGGACTCATGTCAGACTGGGGATCTCTCTGTGTGGGTTAGGAGCTTTGCAGAAGTGTCTGTGCATGTATAGAAATCTGATTTTCCCCACAGGACAGCAGAAAAGGACCTGGGGAGTGGCCACAGACTGCTTCCAGGGTGGCTTCTTCAGCAGTGCAGAATCCCCTCCTGCACTTCCTTTGGCAAAGCTGGCAAATGTACCTCATTTTTCCCTAAACTGCCTTTCCTTTCAGGGCCATTTCACCTCGTGGGCTGTGGTTTGCCTCTGCAGGTAAGCACAGCCCTGTGCTTGACTGTGTGAAAACAAGCCTTGTTGGCCAAACATGCTGGCATTTCTGCTCCCCCAGCGCAAGCCCAGGGACAGAAAAGCAACCTTAGGGAGAGGATAAGAGAACACACATCCTCTGATAGAAAAACATGGGAAACAGGGCTGGACAGTGTAGAAAACATGACATGATTGGTAGATGTTGCCCACAATGATCTCCCTCTAATCTAGAGCACACAGGAGAAAAAAGTCTCATCAAAAACCACAGCATTTTCAGCAGAGCTGGAGAAGCAGAATGCAGATGAACCACCAGGAAGAGAGCTTCAGGTCTTGCTCACATTTTCCATCAGTGCAGTAATGCAATTTAATTGCTTCTCTGAATTATTGATGCCACCACATCAACAGAGAGTGTGACAAAGCAAACCTGGAGAACAGGCTGCCAAACTGGGGCAGGAGAAGCCCAGGTTCCCCTGATCTGCAGGGGGCATTAGAAAAAGCTGGTCACATTCTCCATGCAGCTCCTCTGCAATGAACATAAATTAAAAATAATAATAATATTTGAAGACAGCCTTCCCCCTCTCCCCCTGCACTGCAGGCACACAGCATGTCTAGCTCTGCTCAGTGCACAAGCTGTACTCAGCTCCTGAGGCATTGGTACTGTACAGCTTCATACTTGGCAAGCTCACTATTACAAAATGCTAATTAATTTGAAGGCGTCAGATTTAGTTAAGCACTGCATAGGCAGGCAAGGTCAGAGGTAAACAGCCTGCAGTCTAAAGGGGAAAAAAAGAGGTGTTTTGTCAGCAGTGTTTAAGTGCCTTTGACAGGTACTGCTCTTAGGAGAGAAGCAAGGTATTTCCTAATGAGTTTTGAGAGCAGAGGGGAAGGAAAAGCCCAGAGAGAGGGCAGAATAGGGCAGGGAGCAGGTGCAGCCTGTGCAACAACTGTATGATAAACTCAGTCTGCAGCAGAGTTCATATTTGGCATGCATAACCATGAGCCTCATGACTAAGGAGCAGGCTGTCCCCTGCAAATCTCTTGTGCATTTCACCTCCAAGGCTTTCAGTGCTCTCACATCAAGTAAGAAAGTGCACACGCTGAGGACACTGGGGAAAATTTCTAACCAGATGCAGCTCTTTTTCACCCAAGCTTAATGTAGGGTTTTAATAGATAATTAGATTTCCTCTATTTCCTTTGCACTGTTCCATGCACGGTTACATCCAAAGCTGATGCTGAGCACAGCATTTCTGGTAAACTTCAGAGCTAAGATTAGAGAACCCTCCTGCTATTCCCCATGTCTCAATTGCTGAAAGCATTAATTCATCTGTGATCGATCACTCCAAGAGAGGTGGGAATTCAGCTAAAAGCACTGGCAGCTCCCAGCTTTCTGCCATGAATCTAATGCATTAATTGTAATGGGTCTGAGAGGACTTTAGAGAAGCCTACAGACAATCATTTTTATTTCATTTTATTCATTGGGCAAGGTAAGAATTGCTGACATATGACTTGCAAGGGACTCATTTATGAGAAAATAGATTTTCAGTCCCTAGCACTTAAATAGGCAAGTTGTGAGAATGACTCAGCATTTGTGAAATCATTAAAACCAGTGCAGCCAAGGGGGTTTAGATGCTGTCACATCTGAGTCCTGTTACCAAACTGACTTTGCAACCACTGCTGTGCTGCTCAGCCCAGCTCTCTATGGAGCACCATGCCTGGGCACTCTCAGCCTGCATCTGCTAAGGAGCCATGCCAGGGACATTGCACAGCAGTGATTCTCCAACTGCGCCAGCTGAAGGAGGGGACACTGCTGCCAGGGCAGTCCTGGCCCTTGGGTAACCCAGGAACTCATGTGACAGCCTGGTGGCACCCACAGATGCTCTGTGCAGCACTGCTAATTACACCAGATTATGAGGTGAGACTTTTTAAAACTTCTGAAGTTGTTTCTGCAAATCAGAACCAGCACTTTGCACAAGTTTTCTTCAGAGGTGTGGCTCTGCTTTTACACCCAATATTCTGCAATGTGCCTTCACCTCCTAATGGTGTGAGGTGTTTACCCCTGCAGGAAGACTCGTTCCTCCCCACAGCCGTCAGCAACCACAACAGCATCAGCGTGTTTTGCCATGAGGAAATGCCAGAGCACAGGGAAATGGCTGAGGCAGCCATCATGCCAGCTCTGAGGGGCTGGGAAGGGCCTGTGGGGAGGGAGGAGGCTGGATGGAGGGGTGGCAATGCACACCCCATGCCCAGGGAGGAGCAGCCTTACACGGCAATGCACAGAGCAGGTGGAGGTGTGGAGCTGTTTGCCTCATCACTCCAGAGGCTCCAGGGTGAGCACTGCCGCCCCATGCCAGCTACCAGAGGGCTGATGGAGGAGCTGGCAGCTCTGGAGCTGTCTCACCAGCTCAGAGGAGCATGCCTCACTCTTGTGTCAGTGGCAGCAGTGTGACTTGCATCAAAACTTGCATCTTCCAGTCACACATTTCAAAACCATGAGCTAACAGCTTCTGACAGATCAGAAGAGCTGTCAGCATATCTGAATGTCATTTCAGTGAAGCTTGATACCCCTGTGGTAAAAACTCTTAAGCTTTTTTGCAGTCTTCAGTCTCTTCCTCTGCTGGTATTGTTCTTGATGACAAAGAGCAAAACTGTAACCATATCAAAGACTTACTAAGCACTCTTTAAAGATGGTTTGCATCATCCCATGATCTTCTTCTATCTTGTTGACAATCCTCCTCCTCTGCACAGCAGATGTTTTCCTGGGAGTGGTCAGGAGGGCCTGCATGTATTCTGTAATAATGATGGCATTGACAGCCTTGAGCAGGGCCTGTTCCAGAGCAAAGAGACCCAGATTAACTTCCCTGCACTGAGCAAGGCTCAGCCACACCTGTACCAGGGCACAGAGCAGATATTCTGCCCATGCAGATGGCTGCCCCATTTCTTTGCTTAAATATTAATTTTAAATGCTTGATCCAACACTTGGACTATCTCCAAGCAGCAAGTGGATCACAAAGCTTGATGGTAAGTGTGGAGACATCAAATCAAAAGCAATGGGAGCAGTTAGCTGACCAGAGGTCACTCACACTCCAGAGCTGCAGCAACACTTGGCTTGGCTCACACATTATCACCTGGGGGGAGCTTGGGCTGCAGACAAGCCAGATGCAGCCTCCCTCCAGCATCTACACTTGACACAGGGCCCTGGGGCACACAGCTGTGGCTGGGCACAGAGGAGTCACCTGGGCAGCTCCCTCTTAGCTCCCAGTACTGGCTGAGGAACCCCAGTGCAGACCCATGCAGTGCCTGACAGGGACAGGGAGCGTTTCTGCTGGGGGTGGGCTGCTGCACAGAAACCACATTTTGTTAGCAATTGAAATCAGAGCAGGGTTAGGCTGCAGTCCAAAGGTACAGGAAATCCCCAGCTCTGTCCAAAACAGACAAAGCAAGGGACAGAGAGCTCTGGCACAGCACTTCACCACTGAGCTGCTGCTTGCCCCAGCACTAATGTGACATGATGTCCAGTGACAGCCTTTGAACAACAGCAGAATAGATCCTACTTTTTTCTCTTCCATTACTTTTTCCATATTGCAAAATGTTAATTAAAATCATCACTGACAAAGAGACTGCAGACCTGGGAGTCCCATGGCTGAGGAGGACACATTGCACATGTAGCAACAGCAAATCCAGCCTGCACAAAAGAGAGAATTCCCCAGGTACCAACCTCATTGCTGAAGAGATAGACTCAAGGCTGCTGTAAGATCCTATAAAAGCTGTTTAGGCTACTGTAAAGGTGAAAAAACTTCGATACTTTGTGAGGTTGTTTGCCAATTACTCTGCATGAGATGCTGTGCCCTTTAAGAATTTGGACTTTTCACCCCACTCTGTCCACTCTACATCAAAGGGATCAATAATCCTCACAAATAAGGTTGAAACACATTAGAAGCTGAGAAAATTTCCAAAATAATTATATGGCAGCAATGGTAGGAGAGGAGGGAGCCCAACATTCCCCTCTGTATTTGGGAGGTACATTCAGTTTCCACATTTCTTCACTTGTTGGTTTCTCTGCTGAAATTACAGGAAGGTCTCAGCTGTCACTACCCAAACCTGGTGGACAGAGGTACTGGACTGAGACCACCAGATATTTAAAAGCCCATTTGACAACAGAGAAAACTGCAGTTTGTATTAATTTTCTAGTACTGTGCCATCCAAATGTTCAAATACTAGTTTTAGTGATTTCACAGAACAGAATGTTTTGAGTTGGAAAATACCTTAAAGATCATCTAGTTCAAACCCCCCTGCCATGGGCAGGGACACCTTCCACCAGAGCAGGTTGCTCAGTACCCCATCCAACATGGCCCTCAACACTTCCAGAGATGGGGCATCCTCAGCACCTCCGGGCAACTTCTTCCAGCATCTCAACACTCCCAGGAAAAATCTTCCTCCTAAAATCTTATCTAAACCTATTCTCTTTTAGTTTGAATCCATTCCCCCTTGTCCTTTTACTACATGCCCCTGGAAAAAATCCCTCTTCATCTTTCTGAGTAACATATTGTTCTCACTTTCTTACTTATTTCTTACCTCATATATATCTGTTTTTTTCTTCCCAAAGATCAAAAAGCTTTGCTTTAAGGATTCAAGGATGTGGTCAAAACCACTGTCACACTTTTTGAAGTGGTCCTTCAGTGTTCCCTGAGGAAAAGAAACAGACAAAGTCAAAGGGTGCACATGTAGAGACACCAAACAAACAACAGACACAGATTATTGTGTCTTTGCTCTTTCTGCTCTTGGAAACAGACTTCTCCACCAACTGCAGCATCCTGTGTTTTTATTTCAAAGAAAATCAAAACATGAAAGAAAGAAACTATTCCAACTCAGGAAGGATGTACTAAGCCCTTAAGCCCAAACCTGGAAGACTGAAAACCTGGGCCCTGGGCCTCCTGTTCCCCCCAGGGCTGCTGGTGCTCTGTCAGAGCCACCCCCAGTTCCCACACAGATGTATGGGCTCATGGGACAGGCTGGCAATGAGCTCTGGGACCAAAGCTGCACAGTGTAGCCAGAGTTTCTCTTGTCATTTTCCTTTTGTTGCCTCCAGCCTGCCCAAGGGAGCCTGAGCAATGAGGCTGGAGATGCCCAGGGGAGCTTCCCAGGGAAATGCGCAGGATCACACACTGTCAGGAGCCTGGAATTCTGTGTTTTCCAGACACAAGGGTGAACAGTGCCTGGGCTAACAGATTGATACTAGAAAGGATGAAGGAAGGGGACTTTATCTCAAGGGAGGGACACATTTCTGGTCAGCCTTCTCTACATCCTGACTAGCCAGCACAGCCCTGGGCTCTGTGAGTTATCACTGTCCTGGGAAGATGCCCAGCTGCTGGGAATTAATAGGTATCAGATGAAATTCAGCTTTTTGGGCTCTGGGCAGCACAACAGCAAACACTACAAACAGTGAAACTGGGGTCCCAAAACTGGAAAATGTGAAGCTGTCCACATACAGACTCTGACAAGGCAGAGGAGAATACCAGGCTTGAAGGCCAAACTATGGCTTCACCTTTTCCAAATCAGGACATGAGGGAAGTGCCTGCCAGCCATATGGTCTGCCAAGAGTCAGAATTAAAATGGGTCTTCCATACCTTGACTTTAGTAGTGATGGTTTGCAGAAAATGCTCCATAATATCATCTTCCATCCTGTGTAGAAATCCATTCACCTTAACATTCTGCTCAGTGCTGACACTGCAAATGTATGTTAGCTTATGCCAGACAGTTCTATTTAAAAAAATAAATATGGAAAGTATTGATCAGATCAAATCATGCTATTCTCTCAGATCAAAACTCTTTCTACTGTAACCAACACAGGGGTCATTGAATGGGCACATGCTCAGGTCCAAAGCTAGTTCAGTGACCTGCATTTCTGTGCTCATTAAGACACTGCCACAAGGGCACAACATGCAAATGTCACTTGTACCCATCACTAGTGAGACCAGATAAATAAAAATTCCAGTATTTTCAAAAATGAGCAAGCATGAAGCAGCCTTGGCAAACAGAGTCTGGGTGAGCATCCCATGTGCCTTTTACAATCTACAAATACAAGACAAACAATTATCTTCCATCAGAACAGTCTTCCAGTCAGCAAATCCTGGTTAAAATTATCACCAGCTAGAAACCAGACATCCTACATTCTGGAAAGGCTCAGTGTACAACTTCATTCTCAGTAAAGCTGTGAAGGATTACATAAAAGAGACTCATAAGTATTCAGTCTAGGATCCAGCATCAGCAACATGCAAATACAACAAACAAAGCAGCTACCTAGGCTCAACACAAGGCTCTGATGTCAAGTAATCACCGTGCATATGTTGGATTTTGGCATTTTGCTGACTCCAGAGATCCCTGGATAATTTTACACAGGAAGAAGAGAAGCAACCTTGTTTTCTCCAATGCTGCAAGTGCCTCTGAAATTAGCTTGTAGGTGCAAACATCCTCCTCCACCCTTCTGTGCTTTACTGCTTCCCTCCTTCCTAGCAACCCCAGGGAGAGCCTGGCATATTCCTTGGGGTTTCATTCAGCAAAGCACTTGAGATTGCACCTACCAAGTGCAGCAGCACACACATCTCAGCATAACCTTTATGCAGCTTTCCAGCTGGAGGATGATCAGACCTGGAAAAGGCAGGACATCACAACCCACAGTGGGGTTAGCCAGGGTAGTGTCCCCACACATGACACAGCACTGCTGCCTCCTGCTCGGAGCAGGAAGGGGGACATGGCTGCAAACCCTGCACCTGCAGGGCCTGGGAGCAGGCAGAGAGTGGCAGCACAGCCCTGTGTCCCTGGCCACAGTGACAGCCCCATCTCAGCCTCCCTCTTGCTGGGACTGCCAGGGCAGCTCAGCAGGAGTGTTGCTGACAGCAGCTGGCTTCCTCCATGTTTAAACCTGGTGTGCACAGGGCTGGATGACCATACCCAGCTGGAGGTCAAGGTTGGCCTCATACCAGAGTCAGGAGATCAGACCAGCAGAAAACTCATTTTGCTCCCCATGTCATGAGGCTCTGCTTTCTAACCTGAGAAGGCAGCAACTCTCCAGGATTCGTAAGCTGCTGTAGATCTGTGAGCAGCCATCAAGCTGGATAAAACTTCTCACTTCATCTTCATAGCTAAATTAAAACAGGAAGAAGCACCTTTAATATGTTGTGCTCCAGAACACATTTAAAATCAACAGCACACTGAAGAAATACTGTGTGATTTTTTGTCTTTTCATCTCACAGTTTTAATCCCCCAGGTGGGATCTACAACATGACAAAGTCTCTGCCTGCCCAGCTAAGGGGGAAGACAAACACAGGAACAGCAGGGAGAGCCCTGGAGCTGCCTGGGTACCTTTGTCAGGGACCAAGAGGCAGGAGGTTGATTTGCAACACTTCTTTCTGGGAAGCAGCTCAGGCTTTGTCAATAAAGGTGCAGAACAAAGCCTCAGTGTGTATGAATAACCCACAAGGTCTCTGAACTGCTTTGTCAGTCTCAGTCTCACAAAGGGCTTCTGCACAACCCATTTTATAGGAATTTCTTTCCTCTCATCATATGGAGGGCCAAGGGTCTTAAACCAAATCTCCATCTAGAAATACTACCTAAACCAGCAGTCCTGGCATTTTCTGCTGTGGGGAATACATGGAGAGAGAAATACCCAAGAACAAAAAGCAGATTAGGGGAGCCAGAGGAAATGGTGAGAGGCCAGATGAGAAGACATTCATTCTGCTATGAGAACTAGGAGAGAGCAGATCTCCCCACCCTGCCACAGAGCCAGCAGAAAGCTGTGCCTGGGATGCACAGCCAGGTGAGAAGGGGCCAGGCCTGGGCACTGGACACTCGGCTGCCCCTCTTCCCAGGTGTGTTTAAGGTCTGAGCCTCTCCAGATCTCCCCCAAAGGCTTTATCCTGTCCCAGCTACTCCAGATGCACTTTGTTCCCTCAGCTTTAGTCCAACTACAAATACCGAGCACACAAACAGCAGTGAAGTGCTGTGTTGTCAGTAACAGCGTCATGGGAAACAGCCATCAAGATCCAGGTGAACACAGCATCACCAGCTGCTTCATCGGGGTTTCTCTCTGTTGAGCATTAAGGATGTTACCAAGGAGGAAAGCAGCATCCTTCCTACCTCTCTAGGAACCTCAGGCACTCCTCCAGGCACTCAGCTTCCACCTTCTCCCCCAGGCTCTCGCTTACTTGCCTGGCAGCCTCTGTCTTCTCTGTTAGTATCTGTGGATTTCAATGTGTGAGAGGAGAACTGGCCAAAGTCATTGGTTCCCTATGCAGTGAACAGGAAAACATCCCACTGCTCACTCTGCCCTAGGCACCAACTTCTGCTTCAGTTTTGAGAGTCCTCATGGAAATAAATGTATTTTTCATCAGCCTTATTGTAATGCCTGACCCTACACCTTTGCTGCCCCTGTTTTTTTGTGGTCAGCTTAGGTAGAAGTCTGTCCCTGCAGATGTTCTCTGCTGGCCACATCCAGCCTGGCAGCTCAGCTCATACACAGACCTGCCATCTGCAGGAGCTTCTGTGCTTCTACCTGACTCACCCTGGCAGATAAATTTGAGTGCAGCCACTAAAAAGAGGGTTATGCAGACCTAACTGTGTGCCCTGCCCCTCTGCCAGGGTCTCTGCATGGCATGCCTCAAGAGGGCAGGTGTCACCTTCCCAGCCACCACCCTCACACCTGGCACAGCTCTGTGTGTTAAACCCCAGAGCACATGTCCTGCCCCACTGAGCCCAGCTGGGTGGCCCAGGTGTCTGCAGGAGGTGGGCTGGGCCAGACAGCTCAAAATTCCCCCCACATTGGGCAGGCTTGAGCAGGTGGCAACTTAATGCTGCCCATTAGTTGCTCTGTGGAAACAAAAGCTTGCAAGGGGAGGAGGGCCAGATGGAAAAAAGGAGACAGATGGACCCATATGCTGTGCCCTTACAGTGCTCATCAGCCAGAGACAAAGGGTGACTCACATCATGAATGGGTTTTTCCACTGCTCATAACAGATGCAAAAGCTCACCCAAAGGGGCTGGATGAAATAAGCCACCCCAAAGTGTCAGAAAACCACAGCTGATGAGTTTCCATGACACCTTGATCATTTTCTATCTGAAGTTTAAGTGTCAGCCTGAGAAAATTGAGGAGATGGTAATTTCATAAGGCTTTCCTATTAATCCAGGCTTTTCCATCACCCACCCCAGAGCATTCAAACCTGTCAGTTGCATACACAACAGAGTGAATCCACTCATGCTGAAGCATGGCCAGATGTTACAAATTTGAGGACTGTGGGATTCAAACCATGCTTTGTCCTAGTTCTTGTTAGAAAACTTTCCACTGTGAGCCAGGAGCAGGAAAAAAACCATCTTGATAGCTAAACAACCCCCTAGCACAGGTACCTCACTGGGCACATCACTGCTCCATGGCCCCAGCAGGTACAGGGTAAGGCAAGGAGGAAACAGCCCCTGATGTGAGCTCTGCTTTTGGTGCCTGGGTCTGAGATGGGCCAGAAAAACCAGTGCTTGCCAGCTAAAACAAAAACCAGCTGCTGCTGATCTGCAATCCTTCCAGTGCCTGAGGCTGCCATCCCAAAGGACCATGGAGCTACTTCCTTCTCTCATGGCCTGAATTGGGAGTGCCACTGGGGTGGTGGAAGAAAGCAGAGAATAAAGATAGCCATGACAGCCCAAAGCCATGCCCCTGATCTCCAGCATCACTTAAACCCACATATAAACTCCAGGATTTATGTTAATCCTTCTGCAGGTCATGATCCACACCCCCTCTGCCCACAGTAAGTGCTGCTTACGAGTCAGCAGGGTGTGCTCCTGCAGTGTCAGCATGTGTGTGCTCCTGCATTTTGCCAGTGTGTGTGCTCCTCAGGTGTGCTCCTGCAGTGTGCTAACATGTGTGCTCCTCAGGTGTGCTCCTGCATTGTGCCAGTGTGTGTGCTCCTCAGGTGTGCTCCTGCAGTGTGCCAGCCTGTGTGCTCCTCAGGTGTGTTCCTGCAGTGTGCTAACATGTGTGCTCCTCAGGTGTGTTCCTGCAGTGTGCTAACATGTGTGCTCCTCAGGTGTGTTCCTGCAGTGTGCTAACATGTGTGCCCCTCAGGTGTGCTCCTGCAGCGCCCTCAGAGCCCCGTGCTGTGCTCTGCAGAGCCCCCTGCACTGCCTGACCCACCAGGGCAGCAGTCCCAGCAGGGATGAGCAGGAGCAGCCTGCCTGCACTTTGCATTGCCAGCCAAAGGGCCCTGCCATGGCTCAGCAGCTCTCCCTGCTTTTATAAAAGTGCTCTGCAGAGCTCACACTGAGCAGGCTGGGTAACACACACCACCGCTTCCCAAAAGGTTACATAAAGATCCAGGAGCATGTATGAAAATACACCTTCAGCTTGAATCAGCTCAGGCTGATCCTTGGTTTAGTAAGGGGGTATTTTTTTCCCCAAAACAGGTTTGGGAGCAGACAGACACAGCTTAAGTATGGCAGCCAGCTTGCAGGCTTTTAACACACTGAGCCTGGACTGAGACATGCAAAACTGGGTCTTGCCAAATACCCACATGCTTGTGTGCAAAAACACCACAGCCCCAAAGACTGGAGCTTTTCATTTCCCCCCAGTTTACCTCAATGACTGCAGCATCTGCCCAAGGGGGTTTCCCAATATCAAAGGCTTCTTTCAGTGCTCTCCCCACTTCCTTCTAAATGATAAAAGGAAATTAAAAAGTACAGTTAAGATACAATGACATTCATAACATGTTAGGCTTCCCAGCCTCTCATTATCCATTTGGAGTAGATGAATTTCTGCCTCCATTTTTTTTGGCTGTCTCTTTTAACCCGAAGCCTGGCTGTTTTCCAGCTGACCTAATAACATTTTTCTGTTTTGTTCTACATTGTTTGTTTGAGTTTAAGTGATTTGCAGCTTTCTTTCATCCCAGTGTCAGCTTGGGTTATCTACAGTCTTCCCTAGTTAGCTTAGCTCAAATGAAGGCGCCCACACAGCAAAACAATGCTTAGATACATCTCCATGCTGCCAGCTACTGTAGCTGAGATTTTCCACCCTTCCTCTCTCCAACCAGCATCCAGAGAAACCAGCCAGCATTAATTAAAACCATTCCCTTGCTTAAGCCAGGGACTTGTGAGTGCAAAGAGAAGCAGGCTTAGTGTTTAGAGCTACTGTCATGGTGAGATGGGCCCCATGAGGCTGCACGATGGGAAATTTCCCAAGACTTGGCTGGCTTGTGCTAGTTTGAATGGCTGTAAAAACAAAACTAGCACTGCAGAGAAAGGGCTTGTTGCTTAAAACATGATCTGACCTTTACAGAAGCTTTAAACTCAAAATTCTGGCTTGCTTATTTATTCTTTCATTTCTGAATCTTCCTCCAAGGAATATAAAGTCTGACCTCCCATTTTGGTCTTTGTTCTCTTCTGCCTGATGAATTAGGAAATTTGTGGCTGTCAGCTGAAGAATTTCATCAAAAGTATATTCAAAACAACTGCTCTCCCATATTCACCGAAAAGTGTTAATCAAAGACAAACAAGCAGTTGTAAACAACCCAGAAAAATTTCTTTCCTCACAAGTGCCATCACCTGACTGTGAGCAAATGTGTGAACACTATGTGCTGAGATAGCACATCCCTGCTGAGCTGCACAAACACTTCAAGCCTGCCCCCCACAATGGGACAAAGCATGGCTTAGTGAGGAACTGCAAGGCAGTTAATAACTTGTTGAGGACAGCACTTAGTTGTTTTGGATCAGATCATGTGTCTGCATTAGAAACAGCCTGCTTGTCTGTAGCTCTTGTAGTGATACCAGCACGTCAGGCACCAAAACTTCAATGTGGAGAGGACCAAAACTTCTGCTGAAATAACAGGCCCAGTTTACTTCTTGTTTCCTCCTGTCTGACCAAAATGTTGCAAGGCTTCAGATCCATGGACGGTCAGTACACCTGTGCTGACTGCAGAACGGGAACTTCTCGGTCCTCCTTCTGTCCCTTTGAAAAAATACAGGGGTGGTGGGGAGAAGACCCAGAGCCAAGTGATCCTTGCAGGGCAGTGTAAATGAGCACGAGAATGAGCCCTGGCACCATGCTGCAAGGTCTGCCTTGCACTCTTGTCAAATTCCCCAGTACAGCAGGGGCAGAGGTGGCAGACTGGCAACCCAATTCATGGCAACAGCATTTTCAGTTCACCAGCTTCGTAACCTCAAAGGCACAAAGCTCCCCTGCCCCAGGTGTGTCCAGACTGAGGGGAGGGCTGCCTGCATGCAGAGCTGACTGAGTTCCCCACACTGGAGTTTCAAAGTGGTTTTCATAGCATCTGGGCTCTCAGCACCTTCAGATATGCTCACAGTTCTCAGCACTCATTTCTGTTTAAAGTGCTTTTAGTTTGCACAGATATCAGGCTGCCAAACCCAAAGATAAGCCAGGTGTTCCTAAGCAAAGCAGACCATAGCTTATTTTGGTCAGGATGTTCTCATTCTGAAATTTTAGTCATCCATTGAAGTGGCAAAATGCACACCATGTGATTTAGGCACAATAATACATGACAATTGTTAAAAGATAACAGCAGGATATTTGCTCAATAACAACTGCCTGTATATTAGCATAATGAAGGCTGAATTACCCTAGAAGCTGAAATAGAGAGATAAAGCAGGTTTTATAAGCTGTACCACTGAGCTGAAGAGACATCCATAATTTTTCCATATGGAGTCAGCTTATGTCCACTTAAGCTCATTAGCTTGAGTCTGGAGCTGTTCCCAAGCTGGCCAGGTTTGAAGCAAGCTTGGGCAATGCTGTGCTACACTGTCCAGCACTTCCAGCTCTGCTCTTTCTGTACAACTCAGCACCACATAGAGCTGGGATGCTCCAGGATCCAAGGTGGCATGAAAACTCAGGGCAGAATGGCACAAAAACTCATAACCAGATTGGGGTGAGCCTGCTCAGCACGTGGTGTATCAGGAAAACAGCCTACAGTTAAGCAAAAGCATTCTTCAGCTATTACATTAGAGGGAACTAAAAAAAAGTTAAATTTCCCATCACTGTTACTCAGCATCTTTGAGGGCTTGACAATGACTCAGGGACTTGCTCTAGGATAACCTCAGTGGCACTACCCTGAGTTAGGTCACTTCCTTCATTGAAACAAATGCTAGAAAAAGAGCTTGAGAACACATGGTCTTCCCCAGGGTAATGATTAAAAACAGCCCATAAAGATACTTAAACACTGAAACCAGTAGGCTTTAAGCATATTGTCACCAGCTGGCACTTCTACTTGCATGTTTGTGACTACCTTCTTGTTCTTCAGGGAATAATTCTTGAGGAAAATCTCTGCAATTTAGAGTACTTTCCCAGGGATGATTCAGCAGTTTGCCATGGAATTTCCCCTCCTCTGCTCCCCAGGGGCTGGTGGAAATGGAAAGCCAGAGAGCTGAGTGTGGTAACTCCTGCTGTTGCATTTCAGCTTTAGCTGAATAAAAGAGGCCCTGCTGAGTTTTCCAAATAACGTGGTTTCCTCTGGACCTCCCCATTGCCACAACACATCTTCCCCGCTTCATTTGTATTCCACATGTCTCAACAGAATTCTTCAAAGAGGAAACTTTGCTGAGAAAAGAGAGAGATGCTGCAGGGCTGGGGTCACCTGTGGGATCACAAGACAGGATTCTCTGTGGAGGGCTGCTGGGTGGGCACCAGCTGCACATTTTCTTGTGCTGAGCTCTGGAAATAATCTTTGCTCTAACATCAGCAGTGTCAGTCCAACAGGCTGGAGAGGACTGTGAGGGGTTCACACAGAGACAAATTTAGCAGCCTCAATATCCTGCACAGCTGAGGCAAAGGGGCTGTAAAAAACCCCAGCTTTGCACACGATGGGATCATTAACAGCTGGAGAGAAGATGAATAACGTTTTGAAATGAACTTCAATAAGGAAGTGGGTTTCACCCATAGTCTCCCTTTCTTCCAGATAAAAGGGCTTCTGAGCAGATTGTAGCTCTCTGAATATACAGCAATGGGACGAAGAGAAATTTTCAAATGTTGGGACGTTTCCCTGCTAAGGAACAAGGACAAGGCAGCCTCCCTTTGGCAGCAGGCAGTCATGGATGTTCACACCTGGGCTCTGCAATGAAACTCGGTCAAGATAGAGACTTTGGGACCCACACATGCCTGAGCAGGGCTGGCTGTTTAACAAGGGCACCCCTTAATTTAAAACCACAGGAATAAAACCAGCAGATTGGGGTAAAACTCCTGAGTTCTTACCCGTGCTGTTGCAAGTAACTTTTCCTCAGTCTTCAAAAGGATCCACACGAGGCACTGTGCACCAAGGGAAAGGCTGTGCCCGGGTCTCTCACAGGCCTGGCTGCCTCTGTGTGCAGAAACAAGAGCTCAGCCAGAGGGGCAGCATCCCGTGGGTGCACAGCATCGCCTGCCTGGCACCACAGGCTCACACCGAGCAAACAGGCTGCCCTGTAAGGACCCAGCCCTGCTTGCCAAGCTTGGGCAGCCACAGCACAGTAGGTCTTGACAATGGCCTTTGGCCAGCTTTTCTTTTGTGCTGTTTCTTTTTCTTCTTCCTACATTTGCTGCCCAAGTTAGGGGTTTTTCTTGTTGTTCCCCTCTCCCCTCACTGCTGCTCAATTCCTTCTTAATCTCAGGGAGAGTCTCCCAAGCACGCTTGCATGGATGCACAATTTTGCAAGTGTCACATACTCTTTCTGAATGGAATAAGAAGCAGCTATATACCAAGACAACTGCATCTATGCATGAGCTTTCATAGAGGTTGTTACTGTATTTAGAGAGAGGAAAAATCAAATGCTGAAGTCTGGCATCTCTGCTCTCCTCATTTCTATTCTTTTCACTACCATCTGACTAATAGAGTCACTGTTATTTGTTTGGGTTTTTTTTTTTTCCTTGAAGGGATTCTGCATTTATATAATACATTTTTCCTATATTCGACTTTTCTTTATGTAATTAAATTACATTATTTCTCACCTCCACTTTTATTAAAGTGTTCAATATTTAATAAATCCATTACTCCAAAGCTTTACCATTTTAAAAGCAGCAGTAAAAGGGATGCCTCCTGACCACATCCACCACGTACCTGATGATGGCCAGTGTGTACCCACCACACAGCTTCCCTCCTTCAGGAGCTGGCTGGGGGAAGAGACCACCTGATGAACTGTTAATGAGCTCATCAAGGGTTTATAAGTGTAATTAATACAAGGACCAGAGAAGCTGTGGGCTTGGATGAAAGCAATCAAATAATCCAAAAAGGCTGAGAACTATTAGGCATAAGAAGATTGGAGCTGCTGAGTAGCAATTAAACCACGGACACAGGGAATCAAATGCCTCATCCACCATGAAAAAAAAGAAATCACAAGAAAGTTTCAGGCTTTGATGACACCCATAGGCTTTGAATTCACATTGGGCCAAAGGGCCCCAGATGTGCCACTCTTCAGAGGGAAAGCCATATCTGTTTCCCCAGACTTGGGCAGGAATTTAATGATCTGTTACATGTTTTTTTCTGTGATCTGAGTGCTAATGAAGGAAATAGAGAAACAACTGGGAAAACTACAAGCCAGATAAAGCAGTGGGAGAACCAAGGGCAGAACAAGAGAAATCCATAGAGCACCATGCTGACATAAACGCCAGGGAAAATTATTCTGGGGTAATTAGAGTATTAGGGACCTTGTTAAAAAAAGGTTGATGCAAGGAAAGAAATTGCTTAATAAAGCCAAAAACTGTGCATGTCCAACAGCAGTCCAGCAGAAAAATACCTGCCCACCTCTGGTAAACCCCTGAATCTGATATTAAGGATTTAGAAAGAGGCAGTACTGCAATGAAAAAAGGCTCTGGTTCTGAGAGCACAGGAGATAAAAGACACCGTGGGCAAATCTAAACTCAGCAAGAGTCCTCCTCATCACTGTGTTATCAGGAAGCAGTGACTGTTCTCAGAAACAAAAATTGAGCTATAAAAAATGTAGGAAAAAAAGCCCTTCAGACGTACCTTTTGTACATTTTAATGATCCATTCATAAATTAAAAGGCTCTGGCTGAAGCTGAAACAGTTTCTGTCAGTAAGTGTGGCAAGGTGAGAGCACAAGGAGGCATGACAGCAGCGGGCATAGGTGACGAGCAGTCCTGCTTCCCTGAAGACATCACTTCTGTGCTCGAGGCTGGGGACAAATGTCCTTTCCAGGTGACTCAGGTGCTGTTTCAGGGCAGTCTCATTGGTGTCAGTAGAGGAATCAAGCAGGGGAATCTGGGCTGTCATGTACTGCATTAGCTTTTCCTCCAGATCTTTTCTCCAGAAGTTTGGGCTCCAGGTGGAAACAGAGTCTGTCTCTAGGCTGTTGCCAAGCCACTCTGCTTCCTTCTGCTTCTCCCACTTCAGTGATTCCCCCACTGACTGCAACGGCTCCAGGAGCATCCTGTCACCTCCACTGAGTGCTTCTCCCACTACAGTCCACATTCGTTCAGCCAGCAGCTCATAAAGTGATTCAGACTTCCCCATTCCATCATCTCCAGAATGCTCCAGATTATGAATTTGATCACAAGCTTCCAAAAATTTTCCTTGCTCAATGAGTCTGCAGATGGTTTCCTCTGCAACAGAATAAGAACACAAGCTGCTACAGGTCTATAGGACAATCACTTTAATATCCAAGTTATGAAGTATCTAGTTTATATCTATTCCAGAATTCCTCAGGATCTACTCAAGATCAGCCCACTTAAGGTCTAGCACTATCACCTCTCAGTTTCCTCAGGGCAAGCGCTTTTTTGTTTCTAAATTTCTTTCATCCTTTCTCCTCCAGGTTAACCAAGCCTGAAGAAGTCTGCAGCTTTTTGCCATCATTCCAGAGACCTCCTCATGTGAGCTATGAAGGTTCATTAATTACAATCTTTCCATAAGAAATGTACCTTCTGTCCAGAAAAAAGCATTAAAGAAGGGACATCTTCTGAACAAGCCAAAAGCTGAAAGCCAAGCCTGGAAGGAATTCTCTGCCTCCTCTACAGAAACCCTGGCAGGACCAAAGTGCTGCAAGCTCCCTTGGAAGGAAGATTTCCAGTGCTGCTTGTTTCCAGTGCATCTTACCTAGCACATCCAGTCAACCAACAAGGGTTAAATGTACTCTTACAACAGATTCACAGAGCTGCAGGGCTTTTTCCATGTGTTTTACAGATTACAAGGTTGAGCAATGAGGGGTTAAGGTTTGCCAAAGGTATCTGGAGCAGAGCCCAGAGGACAAATTGAACTTGATGAGAATGCAGGGAAAGTTAAGCAAAGCCAGAAGCAGAGGGACTTAAATAATTCAGGATACAACTTTGGATGTAGAGTGAAGAATGAAAGGAGTATGAGCTTCCACTATGTTTTGCCTATATCCTTCGTACCTTTCCTTTATGAAAACATCTCAAATGTGAAGTAAGAATTAAATCAAACAGGACTGGAGGGAGGAACATGACATGAAATGGAGAAGGGTTGATGCAAAGATGTTCAGTAAAGCAATTGGCAAGTTATTCAGGAGGGGCCTACAAGCTGCACCCACCCTGCCTCGATGCATACAACACATGGGAAATGTTTAATTGGCACAACCAGGCTGTGTGCAGCCCACCTCCCCCTCCCATCTGTGGAGGAACAGCACAGTCACATGGCTGGGGTGTCAGTCACACATACATCATCTTTCTCACAAGACACATCAGGAGTCTTTGCAGAGATAAAAATAAGAACGGTAAAGAGAAACATTTGTGAAGCAAATAAAAAGTGAAATTCAGAACTGCCCAGAGTAGCAAGCGTAGGGTTCAGAAGGGACAAGAATTCAGGTGAAGGATGGGGAGGAGGAGAGTGGAAAGCACCTGATCCAGAAGTTGATAAAAAACAAGAGCCTGTGGGATGGGAGGGGCAGAGGAGATCCAGGCCTGGACCCAGAGATAACTCCAAGGTTACCTGCAGGAGTCCCTCTCTCCTCTCCTTTCCTACTGCTTGGCCTCTTCAGCAAATTCCCTGCCACATCCTCAGCGCCAGCCTTCTGCACCGTTTCCTTCCCGCCAACCACAGTCTTCAGCAATTTGCCTGCCACGGTTTTCAATTTCCCTTTCCTTTTTGCCTCCTGCTTCTTTCTCTCCTCATGTGTGGCCTTGGGCAGTATTCTTGCATTTTCCCCAGTCATTTTCTCCCCCTTCTTGTTGCCTCCTCCCACAAAGGCTGCCCAGGAATTCTTTCTCTTCTGCATGATCCAAGCAGACTCAGGTTCTTTCTGTCCAGTTGGGAATATTTTCAGAAGAAAACATGAGAAATAGTTCTATGCAAAGTAATCTTAGTGTCTGTCTCCCAGAGAAGTTGTCTCTTCTTCTGACTTTTTTTCTGCACAGCTACAGGCTTCAGCTGCCTTTGAAAAAGTCTAACCTGGTTCCTGTCTGTGCCAAGTGAGGACACTTTTATAGGCTTCCAGCCTCTTATGTAATCCTTCCCTCTTCTGGGTAAATAATGTCAAAAACCTCATACATAATCTAACCACAACCACTGGGGGAAAGCCAGGGGGATTTTTGGTATTTTCTAAACGATTCAAATATCCCTGCACTGCCAGTTATCTTGATGACAATCCTATCAGTTTAAGGGAGTTGATTAGTAACAACTTTTATGAGGCACACATCCTTTTCCACCCACCCTGCATGCCCAGGCTGCACCTGAGTTTTCCTTTGGCAGGGAGATCACATCTGGGTTTGGAGCCAAGTTTTCCCTCACCTCCCAGCAAGCCCAGTGTGAGCCAGCAGGGATGTAAAGGCCCAGAGAATGGGTGTTGGTTTCCATGTTCTAATAACACCATTCAGAGGGGATAAGAGCAACCTCAGTCTTCTGGAATGTGCAATATTCCAGCAACTATGTACACTATTGTGTATTATTTTAAATGTATATATACACACATGGGTATAAACAGCATAACATTGCAGCAATCCAGCATATATGTGTGTGTGTCCATACATGTATGCACACATATGGATCTGATTACCACCCAACACCCACAAGTGAAAAAAAAGGAGGAGATTTTCTGCTTAGCATGAAGTCCATATTAGGCTGCTTAAGGTTCTGACCATAAACCACAGAAAAAATTCCTCTACAGAAAGTATCCTTTAAATCCAGGAGCTTGCATTTAAAATAGATTTTTTTAAGTCCCTACACTGCTGTGAGAACTTGGAGAGGAGTTGAAATGCTGTCCTTACCACACCCTTCTTGCAAGAGAATTACAAATTTGGCTTAATTCTCCATTCCATTATTATGAAGATGAAATCACAAACTGGAAGATTTTCATCAGCTGAAGACGGTTTGTATTAATCATTACAAGCTGCATTGATTCAAAAACATGCACTATGCCACAATGATTTCTGGGGTATGAATTTAAGGGGTGATTTTTCCACATCTCATTTAGATTGTTTCAAATATGTTAATTCATATTTCTGGGTTTAATGCCTGCAGTATCTTCCAAGATTTTCTACATTTTCATGATAGTAGAATTCCACTAGTTTCCTTCTTGGAAACCACGTGAATATTTTGTTCTGGCTCTTTTATCAGTGCTGAATTCCACCAGCATGTTATCACAAAGCTGTTTGATTCATTAGTAACAATAGGGAGGAGGAAATAAATACATTTCATTTGGAAAGAGAAACAGAAATTCCAGCAGTGGTCACGCATTTGAGCTGCTGCCAGTAGGAAATACTGAGGTTGCAAAATACAGTGTTTTCCCAGCTCGTGAATAAAGTTGAAAACTGAGAAGCTTTATACACATTCCATTTTGACCTTAATTTTTAATTTGCTGAAGTAAAAATGTTTCATTTGGAATGTTATAGCTGCACAGTATATGAACACAAAATGGAGTAAGAGGCTCAGTACTGAGAGAAGCATTCCACGCGTGCTGAAACCTTCAGCAATATTTTCCCATGAAAATTCCAACACAATATGTTTGTGTTTCACTTCATCAGCATTTTTTCAAGCCTGTCTCTAACAAAAACCATTTCCCTAGACTTCCCTGTGGAAGGAAATTAGATGTCAAAGTGCCAGTCCTGAAGGCAAGACTCCCTGCAGTACACAGATTTTGAACACACTTACAATTGCAGATCGTGCCCTAAACTGTGGCAGCATGATGTGTGGGAATGGCTGTGTTTTCCCAGAAAGCCTCTTTCAAGGGAATACAATACAAGCCTGTGGAAAGCAGGGAGTGACTGCAGGGATGGACTGACATCCTGAGGCTAGGACAAACTCTTATTCCATGCACCACTTGACCCGCTCAATCAAGGAATGCCAGGCACTCCCCAGGATGAAAGAGCACAGTCCACCCGAGCACTGCAGCACCAACCACCCCCATGGCTCTGTGTGCTGCCTTCCCTCAGCCACAAAGCAGGGCAAGCAGGGGCAGAGCAGGCCATGGCCTCCAGCAGCAGGCAGCCAGGAGGGCTGTGCAGGGACAGCAGGGTGGGGAGGGTCACTCTGAGCAAGGTGCTGAGCCCAGCAGCAGCAGGAAGTGATGCCCCAGCCATCCATTGTCACTGCTCTGAACCCCTGCCCACAATGGCTTTGTGTAGCCATGATATTTTCTGAAAAATCCTTTCCTTAGGATTTTTTCTCCTGAGAAGCTGAGAGGCCTCAGGAACAAAATGTAAACATTGATTATCTGCTGCTGTGGAATGCAACAGGTGCATCTGTGATTGGTCTCATGTGGTTGTTTCTAATTAGTGGCCAATCACAGCCCAGCTGTCCGGACTGTCTCAGTCAGTCACAAGCCTTTGTTATCATTCCTTTTCTATTCTTAGCTAACCTTCTGATGAAATCCTTCTTCTATTCTTTTAGTATAGTTTTAATATGGTATATATCATAAAATAATAAATCAAGCTTTCTGAAACATGGAGTCAACATTCTCATCTCTTCCCTCATCCTAAGACCCCTGTGAACACCATCACAGCTTTGGGTTGAAGATGTTGTCTCTGAGGGGAATGCTCTCCTGCAGGAGGGGACATGGCACAAGGGAGCTGCCCAGGGGTCACCAGCAGCCTGCTTTCCTGCTTTTCTGTGTGCCTTAACAGCACACACAGGGTGTACAGGTCTCTCCCCTCTGTCCCCAATGCTGTGTTACTGCTCAGGCTGAAATTCTGCAGTTAAAAGATGGGGATGATCTGAGTCTCTAGGAATCATCCAGCACAGGGCTCCCATGGATGCTGTTATGCTGACACAGGCAAAGCTCACGGGGAAGCTACACCTTCACATAAAGTGTTGAGATCAAATAGAACAGAGGTTTTCACAGTTTACATAATGCAAAGGGGATTGTTTGCTGTCCAAAGCCATTGGTTTGGGCAAAGGAACTGGTGCACAGCCACATTTTTTCTACTCCTTCCATGGGGTCCTGAGCTGCCCACCCAAGGGAAGCCACACCAAGGAAAGAAGTGCAATAGGAAACCAGAAAAACACAGGACCAAGAACAAGGACAGTTCTGCTTCTGAACAAACTCCTTTGTCAGGTGTACAAAATGACTTTCTTCTTCCTCCAAAGCCACTTCTTGGAAACCAGCCCTCTCCTTCTTCCTGGTGTTTCAATGCCTCCATTTATCCACAGTGGGATTTTCCTAGCAGGTCATTTTCCCTGCCACGACCCTTACTATGCTTACTGTGAAAGAGAAGCCATTTGTCTCCTAGGAACATCCCCAGCATTCAGGAGTTTCCCTCATTTCCTGGAGCTCCTAGAAAAGTCCACAGCCTCCCCACATCACTGAGACTCTCTTCCTATCTCAGAAAAACTGTAGCTCCTTTGTCTTTGGGATTTTACATTAAACAAGTGGATGTTGTGGAGAATTTTTATATTGTTTCCCTGTTGACTTATCTTTATCTTGCTATTTCCCAATTCTTCTGCCTATATAGATAAAATCTCTTCATAACAAGTGGGTTGTGTGCCTGACTTGAACAATAGGTGTTTGGTCCTGATGCTGATCAGATGAAGTCAGACTATTAGCACTACAAATTAAATGACTTTGCAAGAGTCCAATCACATTAATATTCCAATTCCAGCAATGCAGTGATGCCTCTGCTTGCCTTGCAGGGACATTACGTGAGCACAGTCAGGCATAGACAATGGAAACTTTGTGTTCAGTAGCATCTGTTATATGAAATACACTTGGTCCTAAGAGGCAGGTGGATTGCAGTATCTGGAGAGGTTTTTCACTTCCCTCTTTTGTTTCCAGAACATGCTGGTACTTTCCACTGCTTTGAATCAAAGGCGTGAAACATGGCAGAAAGGATATATTAATTATTATGATAAAATGTGCAGAGTATGGCACAGAAAGATATTGGATTCCTAGGATATAAATCCATGCAAAACCACTCTGTGAAGCTATATTGCAGTCAGACAAGGTGTTCCTCCACTCACACACAGCACCTTTGATTTCATCAGCAATCAAAGAAGAGCAAGTCTCTATTCCAAGCAAGATAGGTTTTTTTGGAGAGATACAAAACAAGCAAACCAACAAAGAAACAAAAGTACCTTCCCCTCACATTTGACATTGCAGCTGGTGTTGCCATCACAGTCGTGTGCAAGAGGTGACTCTGCCTATTGTGCACAGTCAGATGTTTGTCATCGGTGAAAAACATACATTAATTCTTATTTCCTAAGGATAACTCCACTTCCTAAGGAAGCAAGACAACACAGACAGAGGTGGCATGTGTCTCTGTATTCATGTGATTCCCTGCTCTAATGCACAAGAGTGGATTTTAAGTCAGTTTTAACCAGTTTTAAAGCCAGTTTTAACCAAACTGAGAGAAGGTGGCTCACACAAAACAGTACATCCTTCATAAACATACACATCTGAGGAGAGGATAGACCTTCAGTGCCCTCTAAGGAAGGGAACACACCATGAACTCAGCCTTTATTTGATATCAGAGGCTCCACCCGGCAGCACAGTCTGAAGGTACATAAACACTGCTTCCTTGCCTTGGTGCTCACCAAATCCCCTGTACTCTCCAGATAACCTGTGTGCCTGTGCAAATAAAGCAGCACAAATATTTAATGCAGGCAGCCTCTCCTGTAGCAACAGATGGAACAGAGCTGCTTCCCTAGAGCGATTCCCAGCCCCAGCCTGCAACCTCTCCCTGCCTGAGATCTGTGCTACCCTGAACTTGCCACCAATTTGGAGCAAAAGGGAAAGAAGAAAGCTTCTTCCTTGCTCTTCATGAGTGTGTTTGCTTGGGTAGCTTT